CCCCAAAACCCCAAAACCCCAAAACCCCAAAACCCCAAAACCCCGAATAAAATATATTATATTGAAATAAAACTTTGGTAATGGAAAGTGTTGAAATCATTAAGCCTAATAAGGAAAGAAAGAAATCAATTCTCAATCAGGATCTCTCTAAAAAGGAGCTAAACCAAGCAGTATGACATTTACTAACTTTCAGACCCAGTTATCAACCAGAAGCACAAGGACCAACACTGGCTTTCTCAAACCAGGCCAAAAGCTCCGTTACAAAGACTTTTTAACCAAAGAAAGCATCTTATCTCCTTATAAATAATCCTGACGGTTCCAGTAATTTTCTAAAGCTCCCCCTGATTTACAACTATTGAATAGATGAGTATAACTCAGGAAGTCAGAATGCAAAATTGCCTAATCCCAAGCTTAACAGAACAGTTTTAAAGAAGATCAATAACTTCAGGTACAGTCATTGGCAAGCATTGTAGGAAAAACAGAAACATAGCCGACTACAAGGGAGTTAAAAATATTTTGCAAGGGAGTATAGACTCGGTCCAGGACCATAATATGTCCTTTGAAAATAGAGAGCGTATAAATTCGCTGATTCAAAGAAGGTACTCTACGAATAGGTCTATTAGAAATAATAAGGCCTTTAAGTCTCCTGATCTTGTCCTCTCTCGTGCAAAAGGAAAGTCTAGAAGAGGTCTATCTAGTGAAATTGATTACTCAGATGTAAGCCAAAATCTACTCAAAATATTCAAATTTTTGAAATCTCTTCAACTGTTAAACACTTGTTTTCTCATCTCTCCAACCAAGACCTATCTAGATCCAGTCAATCAAGACCACAATCACAGGGTTTTCCCAAAAATCAGCTGGCTCGAAGCGAACCCCGCATCTAAAATAACACCTTGAACAAATCAAACTTGTCAAAACTACCTGCTCCAAAATTCTCAAAGAGAAAGAACTTTAGTAAAATTGGGCTATTTTCTGACTTCCGGTCCAAACTAAGTTATTTCTCTATGAACTCAAGGAAATCTCTGTGGGAGTAAGCTTTATGAGTAAAATAGTAGTATCAAGACACATGTTAAGCAAGACCATTGGTTCGGTAAGCACCAGTTGTGTGGTTTATACCAATAGATGATAATGCATCCAAGAAGGCCCTGCCTGAGAAAATCAGTTATACCTGACACAAGTGTCGAAAGAGAGTCGAGGTAGATCACACTGGGGTCATGGAATACCAGCAGTTCTTGCTTCTTAAGGAATTTCTGTCGTATATATTCTCCCACAGCAAAGGAGAATATGAAGAGTAAGGTCGGTTGTTTACCATTAGATCTCTCCCTGTTACCAATAACTGAAAAGAGTGCATAATTGAGCAATATTTTGACGACGATGAAGACGTTTTCAATGATTTGATGAAATACATTACCATTAATGAGGAAAAATCCAGAAAGAAGGAAAAGAGCTCTGAATCTAGAGATAAGCTCAACCAAACTGTGGCTCTGCCCGTGATAAAACCGGAGGAATTTCCGATTCCTAACAGAATTATTGAAGCAAAGCGTGCCAATAATGAGTACTCTGAAGATTTCCCCTTAAAAGTGTTGCCTAATAATTTATACAAGAAGATTCAGATCTTAACTCAAGGGGATCCCAATATTAGTAGGAAGTTGAAGGATAAAATAGAGAAATGGTACTTTACTTACCCAGAATCAACAATGAAGGATGCTTTCAAGCCCCAACCACTGAAGTTCTTGAATGAGACTAAGCTATACAGCAGGAAGAAGAACGAATTTTCAACTTATGTGAACGCATACTTCAAAGGAGGGGTTATTGATAGACCTTTGCTAGATCCTCAGAACAGGTTCATGAAAATCCAGAACCAGCTGGGTGAAAATTAGATTACTGAGAAATAATTTCAATAATTTTTACAAATAAAGGGGTTTTGGGGTTTTGGGGTTTTGGGGTTTTGGGG